TACTTAAGTGGGTATATTCTGACTTATAGTTGAAGAAGGGATGGCCATTGTGTCTGAGAAGGCATGGTGGCTGGGATTTGAATCTGCAATAGTAAAGCAGAAAGTGTTCAGGATAAAACCACAAATCACAGACCTACAGTGTTCTGCTTCCTTTAGCAAGACTCCATTTGTTAAGCTGTACCAACAGCTGGGGGGGTCAATTATGCAAGTATATGAGCCTATGATGGATATTCACATTTAAACAACAGCAAATAGGTCAAGAAAAAGTTGTTTATGCATACCAAGTTGCTTTATTCAGCCATTGAAAAAAATAATGTCATTGTCTTACTTGCAAGAAAGTGTTGGGGACATAATGTTGAGAGAAATAAGTCAGACACAGAAAGGCCAATTCTGCATGTTCCCTCTCATATGTGGACATCACATGTTCCCTTTCGTACATGGACATTATGTGTAGAACAATGCTTACTAGAGGCTGGAAGATTGGGTGCAAGGTTCATAGGAGGATAGATAGTGAGTACCCATAAGCAATTAGAACTAGTAAATTCTAGTTTCAGAGGAACAGCAGAGGGGAGGGAGCTGAGTTCACAGTCATGGGTTATGCATTTTATGAGTAACAAGAAGACAGTAGTCTGAAGTCTCCAAACATAAAGCAATAAAGAGATGACAATGTTATGCTCCAATTTGTCCATACATACTCCACGCACATATTTCAGTATCAAACTATGTCTCAAAATGTGACGATGTATAATCATTATCCGTTAATTGGAATTTGTCTAAGTTTTAAGTCATGGAAGCTTTAAATAGGCCAATTTGACCTGTACACACTGTATGTATTACTACATTGTTTCATTATTTTTATAAAGTTATACAATTAAAATAAGTTTTGAAAGACTGGTAAAGGTATGAGAGAAAAAAGGAGACTACAACAAATAAGCATGAAATCTTCCTTGGAGGACATAAGTCTTGGCTGAAAATTAAAATTATGTAGGACTCATTTGGCTATGTGATAAAAATAAAGTCCAAACCAGATTAAATAAACACAGCCAGTAGGTTTACATGGGAAGGATTCCTTGCTTTTGGCAAGGATGGACATGTGGTAACATGATGATGTTGGATGTAGCCTTCCTCTCTATATAGGCTTTACTGCATCATTGTTCTACACAAAGATAACTGCAAAAACCAGGCAGCTACATTTTATCCATTTATGGTAGCAAAATGCCACAAACGGTGGCTTAAATATGAGAAGTTTGTTTCTCCCAGCCAAAAATTTGTAAGTTCAGAATTAAGACACCACCCCATGAATGAACAATTTCTCAAAGGCCTTGTGCCATTTCCTTTTTATTGCTGTGATAAAACACCATGACCATGGAGTTGGGTGAGTATGGAGGTGGGGGAGGCTCTGGGAGCAGTTAGGAGAGGGTAAAGAATATATTGTATAAAATTCTTCAATAAAAATAAACATAAAAAGAATGCACTTATGCATAGTTTATCATGTTGAAATTTCAAAAACAAAAACACACAATGAAACACCACGACCAAAAGTGACTTACGAAGAAAAAACTTCTTTTGGCTTATGGTTCCAAAAGATGAGCCCATCATGGCAGGGAAGTCATGCCAGAGTAGGAAGCTAAAACACTGCATCTTCATTACATAAACAAAGCAGAGAGAGAGAGAAATGGAAATGAGATGAGGCTATGGGCTCTCCAAGCCTGCTGCCCCTAGTGATGTCCTTACCAGCAAATCTCTGTCTCCTAAGGGTCCCATAGCCTCTTCCAGCAGCAACACCACCCGGGGACCAAGTGTTCAAATACTTGAGCCTTTGGGGGACATTTTTGGTTCAAACCATCACAGGTCTCATTCGTAATCTAATTATTTTGAATGTAAGATTTGAACTTATGAAATGAGAAGGGGAGAAACTGTAAACATTCAGATTTTAGTAATACCCTGATTGACTTGTTGGCTAGGTAGCATGCCTCCCACAGCAAGAAGAGGGGGGAAATCAGAGAATTCCAGCAGAATCAGGTAGCAGTAATGATCTATGGTTCTTGCCAGTCCTCTCAAAGGCAAAAGAAGGGGCAGAGCGATGGACAAAACACCTACAGAAATATAATTCTTACCAGATTTGATCTAACTGGATAGCATGCTGTGTAAGGACAAAGCATTTTTGAGTACATGGAAGAGTTTGGACCATGATGTAAAGGCAGGAAAATCAAGGAATGTATGGTCAGGTTCCTGTGGGATACCAGGTAATTTTGTATCAGTTATTATAAACTTTGAATTAATGTAATTTTATAAATCTCATTTCCTTTACTAAGAATTATATATTTGGGCATATCTTTATATATATCGTTCACATATAGGTACAAATTCAATGTTTTAAAATGTACTCCCTCAACAATTTTCAGGTACACATCATAATACGTATAGTAAACAATGGATATCTTGAACTTGTTCCTTCAAAATAAAATTTTATGACTTTGACCAGGAACTCCCAAAGAGTCAACCAAACACAGCCTTTGGAATACTTTTGCTCTCTTTTCTGTAAGTTTGACATTGTTATACTTTGCAAGTAAACCACGAGGCTTTTGTGCTATGACTAATTTATTTTAGTTACTATAATGTCCAAGTTCATCTGCATTGTTTCAAATGGCAGAATTCATTATTTTTTCTTTTTGCTTATTCTGTGTCTTTTACATTATGTGTCTTGATCCCGTTCATCTCCCCATTCCTTTGCACCCACCCTCTACCCCTGCAATTACTCTCCCAAAAAGCAACATTTAAGAGAAAAAAGGGGGAAAATTAAAAATCTCATCATAGAATCTTCAGTGTGACCCAGTGACTCATACACTAGACCCCTTCACTCAGTGATATGTCTTTACTTGCAAGAGTTCATTGCAAAGAGTCTGGTTCGAGGCCTCTGGTTTCTACTGCACTATTGATGCTGCACCCTCACTAGGACTCTTCTTGAATATCCTGATTTTGCCATGTGTTGTGGAGATCCTGCAGCTTTGGGTCTGCGGGTCTTTTAAATAATAACTATCCTAATAGATGTGAACTAATAAGTCACTGGGATTTTATTCTGCATTTCTTGTAACAATCTATTATGTTGAACATTTTGACAAATACTTTCTGGATATTGGTGCTTTCTTTGGAGAAGCGTCTAGTCTTTTGTCCATTTTAACTATGGTGGTTTTACCTTTGAGCCTTTAATCTGCATTGAGTTGATTTTTGCATAGTGAGTGGTCAGTGTTCCTAGTACATTAATGAGAAGATTGTCCTCTCTTCATTGTTTGTTGAAGTCAATGGACCATAAATGTGTAGATCTCGTTCTGGGCTTTCTGTTTGCTTAATGGGGTATGTTCCTAGATTTATGTTAGCACTGTACTGTAGAGTGCAGCCTTCCCTCCAGCCTGGTTCCAGAGCCGCATCAGTCCCAAATGAACACACAGGACGCTATATTAATTATGAAGCTGTTGGCCTTGCTTGTTTTCTTACTGCTGTCTCTGACTTAAGTATTTACTCCATAATTGTTAATCTAAGTATTTTTCTTACCAGAGAAAGGGTCCGGACTTCTTACCCCTACAGCGGTTACATCATGGCTCCCTATGTTTCTCCTTCCCATAATCCTCCTCGACTCCTAGTCCCACCTATCTTGATTTCCTATTGGCCAACAGCGCTTTATTCAACAACCAATAAGAGACAGATTTCAGAATGACATCTCCCATCACTATACTGGTTTGTTTATTAAAATGTTATGACATATTTAAAAAATAACTGAAATCTCTAAAATATCAGTAAGAATTTGAAGATGACAGAGATAAATGGAAAGACAGCAAGGATTTCTGGACAGAAAAATACTGTCCATACAACACAAAGCAGTATTTATTAAAACTCCAAATATATTTTCTCAGAGAAAGAAAAAGCAAGACTAAAATTTTTATGAAACTATAAATACCATGGGTAGCCAACGCACCCTTAAACCAAATAGTAAATGGAGTTACCACACTTCCTGGTTACTAAATCCTAGTAATGGGTTGAATGTGATGGGAACATCCTATTTGAATTATATCTCATAATGAACACTTCTGCAAAATAACACACTAAATTTTCAGTATAAGCTGTGAGTTTTAATTTCTATGTTTCATAAATCTGAATAACTTTATTGAGTTGCTTTAGAATAGTGCTTTCTTAAACTTTTCTCAAAAGTAAATTTTAATTCACTTAAAATAGAATTTGATTTTTAAGCTCTTAGAACATTGACTGTTTTGAGCAAATGATTAATAAATATATGTGGATGTTTCCATGAATTTATAACCGTAATCGTAAAACCATCTATCACATTTAAAAGCCGATTTGCACCAGATGTTTGTTTGTTCCTTGGCACAGCCGTGCCTGGATGTGAATTCATTTTACGATTCACAGAATCCCCAGGGGCCCATGGTGATAGGATTGAAACCAGGCCAATTGATGTTTTAATCCTTTCTGTCCTTCAGGAAGAAATGGAATTAAAAACTAAGTTTCTGTTGTTCAGAATTTGTTGCACTGAGCTAAGATTATAGATAGGATGTAGTATTAGATTCTTGCTAAATGGATTTATAATCTAAATTAGATATACAGGATAGTGACCTTGGCAAATGAAGGGTAGAAGTGACAACTTGGTGAAAAGTCAGCAGAAGCTGAAGAAGTTCAGAGACTAACTTGTGAGTGGCGTTTGCTGACCTTTATGATGGCACAGGACTGCAAGGTCACAGTGCTGGATCTGTCTTAATCTCCATGTATAGCTTCACACATGGCACTTTGCTTTACTTAGGAATCTCTTCAAGACAGCTCATACTTCACGGAGAAGATGGAGAGGTACATGAAAGAAAAAAAGTAAAGTGCTTCAAACTGAAAAATAAAAAGACTGCATAGCACTATAAAATAACTATCTTATAAGATAGGTAATGAGGAAATTAAACCATCACATCTCCCATGGTATATTTCAAAGAAATAACAACCAGTGCATTTAAAATAAGTCACTTTTTATTACTACCTGTCATAGTAGGCAAATCTTCAAGATAAGTACTGGAATAGGTCTGTATGGTTTTGACCAGTTGATAGCAAATTATTAAATGATAATTTCATACATGTTAGCTAACATGAGCCAGTAGATGTTATGTGCTTCTACTCATTTTGTATAATACTGAATATGCTTCATAATATAGAAAACAGAACTTCCTACACCTGGCAATCCGTCCATGAACTCAAGCACAATAAATCACAGACAAATGGCACTAATTCCTGTTCTTTGTTGTGTGTCAACCTCAGCTGGTCCTATATCAATGTGGTTGTGTCCTGAGTAAACATAGTTTAATTATGAAAGAAGATTTCTTTTTAAAATTAAGACCAAGCAGTGCATTTCTTACCACACTCAGACTATTGAATATAGTCGGCTATCCTTTTCTCTATTAGTCACTTCCTTCGATAGGATGCCTTTCCTGTTGCATTTCCTAGGACATAGAGGGCACCTAGGAAATATCTAAGGAAAGACAAATAAATAAAATTCTATCATAAGCATATATAGGGTATAAGTATGATCCCACTGATTTTGAGAATATGCCTGAAATTATAACATATGACAAATCCTTAATTAGTATACTTATTTCAAAGGAAAAGTGCACAAAGTACCCCACCACATTTATCTGCCATCCCTTCTAGAACATCTGTGGTTTAAAACAGCTTTGAAAATGGATCTTTGAAAAAGATATGGTCTGATTTCTGCTGTGAAAGCAATAAAACACTCTATTTTAAACTTTCTTGTGTGTTTGTGTGTGCTATAATGCATGTATTCAGGTACCCCCAGAGGCCAAAAGAAAGTGTGAGATTTCCTGGAGCTGGAGTTACAGGAAGTGTCAGGCAGTCTGGCGTGGGTGCTTGCATTTGAACTCCAGTCCTCCAGAAGAGCAGAGAGTGCTCTAACCACTGAGATATCTCTTTAGCCTGACAGTAAAATAGTCTAAGTTCAGTAATTCATACCTTCATAGAGGGCAGTTAATAGAAATAAGCATTAGGTCTAAATCTTCCCAGTCTGGTTTATATTGAGAAACACTGCTGTACACTCAAGTCAAACATTTTTGTTGGTGGTGTTTAAGACAGAGGTATAATACATCATCATGATGCCCTTGATGAAATCTATACATTTACATTTAAAAGCCCTAAATGAGCACGTTCACAGAGCAGGGTGAGGGGAGCAGCATGGTCTAGCAGGGAAAATCCTTGCTGTTTATCAGGAGGCAGTTTGGTGCACATAGTAGTTGTCTTCCCATTGACTGATGCTCAGTGCTTTTCTTCTTCAGGTTGATAGGCTGGACGTGGACGGCTTGTTCAGCAACATCGAGTCCGTGCACCAGATATCAGCCCAGCTACTGTCCTTGTTGGAAGAGGCCACAACGGACGTGGAACCGGCCGTGCAAGTGATCGGTATGTTTGTTCTCTTCTTCAGTTCTACAATACAACAGGAAACAGTATTTTAATAACCCCTTGCTACTTTGGTTTTATGTTTCTGACTCACAGTGCTTCCCAGGAGATATATAAGTGCTGAATCCGCCTTCGGGCTCATTGTAATTATGCAAACTCTTCACGTATCCCCAAATGGGTTTATAGCCGTTTGCCGAGGTCCCTCAGTAACACTGAGCGCAGACAGAATATGTTTTTAAAAATTTCAACCTTTCAGTCTCTGCTTTTCATGTAGTCTTTCATTTTGTTTTATGACTGGTACTTCCTTGGTCCTTAAAGAATTAACTATTTTAATAGCTATCCTGATTTCAATAATAATGGATTTTCATCATAAATACTGATTATTAAATTATAAATATTTTACATGAGAAGTATACGATCTCTGTAGAACTTAGACAACATTTATATTTTCAGTGTTTTCACTTTACTCCTTTTTGAAATTTTCCTTTTATTTTATTTTTCATTGATGCTTTGTGGATTTTATATTATGCTGATCCCACTCATCTTCTGTCTCCTTGCTTCTTCCCTCTGCCCTTGTAACTCCCCCAAAGCAAAATTTAAATGTGCCCCCCAAAAAAAAGAAAAAGCAAAAAAAAAAAAAAAGAACTGGCAAGGCATCTGTAGTGTGGCCCAGTAAGTCACACAGTGTACCCTTTAGTTCATACATTTTTACTTGCAAGTATTCATTGCAGAGTCAATTGCAGAGGTTTAAGGCCTCTGGTTTCTGCTACACTATCAATACTGGGCCCGCACTGGGGCTCCTCTTAGATATCCTAACATTGCCTTGTGTCATGGAGATCCTGGAGCTTTGGATCTGCAGGTCTGGCCACTTCACATTCTCCGTGTGTGTATATATTTATATGTGTGTGTGTGTGTGTGTGTGTGTGTGTGTGTGTATTCATATGTGTGTGTATACATATACATATATATATATATTACACTGGCAAGGTCTTTGTGATGACTACAGAGAATATCATATGAAAAATATTCGGCCTAAATTCTATTCTCTCCATGTCTTGAATATTACAAATAACTCCTTGAAGGAGGTTTATGTATCAATGCATAGTGCTAGGTAGCTTAAGAATTCCTTTTTTTAAATGATCATTTTGTAATTTTACATATATTACATGTTATAAAAATATTAGAACAGTTGAGGATTTATAGGGTAAGCATAGAGGATTGTTTATGCACTCTTCCAAATCCACTGTCTCTCCTGCAGGTGACTATTGCTGTTAATCTTTGTAAAACGTTTCTTCTTTGAGGCACACCCACATGGCCCATGCACACACACTTTCTATATTTATTGAATCCCCATGTTTAGTAGATGTTAGAGTTATAGAAAGGGACAAGATAGTTCTCATTTAGTATGCATGGGATTCCCAAATGTAGGTAGCAAGCTGATCTTGTGAAAAGGGGAATGAAAGGATTTGGTTGGGTTTAAATTCTATCTTTCCATGTGGTCCAACATCTCCAACACATTGTGACAATGTCTTCTTTCTCCAGAAGATTGCAGACAGTTTCATTTTAGCAGAGATCACTAGGTGTTTATCAGTTTGTCCGAAGCATAGATATGAGCAGCAGTGTGCTTAAGAGGAAAATGCTGTGTGGCACTGTTGAGCAGAGTGGTCTAGAAACAATCATCTCTGACCCCCCCCCCCACGCTCACAGTAAAACCTCTCCTGGAAGTGAAGGTGTGTGTCTGATCGCCATCAGAGTGCTTCTATGCCACCACAAACCCTTAATGAGAACATTTCAGATAGGGATCAAGGAAGGACTACAAGATACTGTGTACATTTATGTCATTCATAGTATTTTGACAAGTATGGTCCAGGTTGGGCAAAGATGTTCTTTAGAATTTTCTTTCCACTTAGCATTAATAGAAAAAGGCAAACACATTTAGAAAATGGCAAGTGATTAAGCTGGTATGAAGGATCATATAGAGTAGGAGCAGGGAAGATATCTGGAGATACAGATGATACTGAAAACAAATGTGAAATCCAGGAGTTCAGCCTCTAATGCCATCTCTTTCATGGCCTTGACTGGGTTAATCAGTGCAGCACAGTAAACTGAAATGTAGCCTGTTTCCTTTCGTAGCACTGTGGAGAGTCACATGCAGGACACTGGCTGATACAGTGAGGACACATGGACCTCAGTAGCTAGAAATGGCCCCTCATTGTTCTGGTGGCCCTTGGAGGTGTAGTTGATGCTGCAGACCCTTCCCTCATAGGCTAATTGTGCCGTGGCCTGTGCTATAAAAAACATGAGGCTACCAGGGTGTCAATCAGAGGAGTTGTCAGGACATATAAGGATTTACAGGTTAGATGTGAATGGAATGTGTGTGGGCACTAGAGGCTGGCAGCTTTGCTTGGGGGCTTCTGCCTGTTTCTGCAGCAGCAGTCAGGCTACTTGTTGCATGCTGTATATCCACCACTCTTGTTATTACCTGGTTATGCTTGGTCTATTTTGCAATAAACCCTTCCCTGAATGTATTCACACAATGTAAGTATTGATTTTTCTGCTTCTCAAGAAAGTTGATGATGAACTTATAAAAACAGAATATTTACCCCATATGCCATAGGGACATTAACATTGTCATCACCGACCACAAAACAACCAGGAGACAGAAATCTGCTGAAGAAGCAGCAACATTCACATCAGAAAACATTAGTCATTGTTTTAAAAAGATTGCTCAAGGCATGTGACTGGGCACACATAGCTGCTTAAAGCCTACTTATGAACCACTCCAAACAACAAGATTGTTCATGGACAGCAGATAACAGCTGCCCTCCATTAAATTCACTCAACCTTACTTCCAAGGTTCCTTGAATCTGTAAAACATATAAAAGCAATGGCTACTAATGAGGTGACACCATCAATAAAGGCTTTGCAGTTAAATGATGGGTGTGTCTGTCAACAGATAAAGCAAATATGGAATGCCAGCTCATCCTAGTAATAAAATTTTAAATCAAAATTGCAGAAACAGAAACGAATTTGGGTAAATTTATTATTAAAAAATTGATTTTCTGTCTCGTTGTAAGTATTACTGTAACCAACTTAAAAATTCAATGTTGTAGGGGTTGAAGGATGGGTTAGCGGTTAAGAGTACACATTGCATTTGCAGATGTATTGCATTTCACTCATGTTCAGTGGCTCACATTCACTGATAACTCCAAATTCAGGGATCACACTCTTCTGGCCTCTGTGCACACCTAGAGTCTCTCTCTCTCTCTCTCTCTCTCTCTCTCTCTCTCTCTCTCTCTCTCTCTCTCTCTCATGCACACACACACACACACACACAATAATTAAAAATAAAACAAATCTTCAGAAATATATTGTGACTGCAAGGGACAATATGAATACACATAGGTAAAGCAAATGATCACAGAAAAACAATGTTTTTACTAAAATAAAATCTGTAGTGAAGAAATTATGTGACTCAGATTATAAAGCTGCTATTTTATTCCCGTTACACTTCTCAAAATGTATGCATCCTTTTCTATACTCAAAACCGGAATGCATGTGAAAGACAATAAAACTAGCAAATTATCTTATGCATGACATTCAAGACCTTCTTTGTTTCTTTGGGGTTTTTTTCTCTATCTTTATTCATCACTTAAAAGTGTATTTTATATACCAACCACAGTTTCCCCTCCCTCCTCTCTTCCTGTTCCCTCCCCCATCTCTCTTCTACACTTTCCCCCATTCACTCCTCATCCATCTCCATTCAGATGGGGTAAGGCCTCCCATGGGAATCAACAAAGCACGGTACATCAAATTGAGGCAGGAACAAACTCCTCCCCGCTTCCTCAAGGCTGAACAATGCATTCCACCAAAGGGAATAGGTTCCAAAGAGCCAGTTTGTGCATCAGGGACAGGTCCTGGTCCCACTGCTCGGGGCCTCACCAACAGACCAAGCTACACAAACTGTCACCCAGCTGAACAGGGCCTTGGACGGTCCCTAGCTGTCCTGAGCTCCCACAAGCTTTGGTCAGGTCCCCGTCATGGTTTTGACACCCTCCTTCAATTTAGAATGCAAAGTTTCCCTATAGTGACTGTGGGCTGGTTTGTGATAAGGTCTATGGAACTGATTGCAGTGTATTCAGAAGCAGGACATGGCTTTAGTTAAGCTATTAAGCAAACAGAAAAATTGGTTACAATGATAGAAAATATATTACAAACAAGAAGACATTACCAAAACAAAGACTTAACTTGAAAATTAAACAATAAGAAAGAGCTCATGTTGTATAAAATAGTTTTGAAATTCTATAATTGAACTTTGAAATTCTGTAACTGAACTTTCATACACTTGGCTAACAGAAAGAAGCTTTTGATGGAGCACTTCTTTTTTTATGATTTTTTTTATTTAAATTAGAAACGAGCTTGCTTCACATGTCAATCTCAGCTCCTTCTCCCTCCCCTCCACCCCCGCCCCCCACCAGGCTTCCCAGCCCCCCACCCAGTCCCCACTCTGTTCCCCAGGGAGGGTGAGGCCCTTGATGGAGCACTTCTAATTTATTTCATTTAATTCATTTTTTTTTGAGATTGTGTCTCACTCCATAGACCAGGCTGGTCTGGAAATCTTTATGATAGCCCTAACTCATCTCCTAATTGATGGGATCACAATCATGAGCCACCACGTTTGGCTTGATGCTCTTCTTTTACATGATAAAATTATATTTTGTACTACATTATACAATATTACATTTTGAAAAATCACAAATAGAAATCATTTGGTAGTTTTTTCACTTGTAAAAAGAAACAAAATAATCCAAACAAAGCAAAAGATGGGAATTTCGAATGTATTTCAGCTCAAATAAATACGCCTTTAAATATGAATATGCATAATTAAAATTTTAATATCTTCCACTTATCAGAATATTCTGAACTTATTGAATTCTTCCATTTTTACAAGTGATTTTCCTATTTAAAAGAAGGTTCATAAATTTGACATCTTTGGTCTGAGGAGGCTCTGAGGATGAAAGCACTTG